ATGATGCTGCATCTCTTTGCCTATTTTAATGCTTTTATTTCAAGTTAAAGTCTTTTATGTCAAGTTTGAAAATAAAGTGCATCATATTTTTTGCAGCATTTTTGAGGATAAATTGTCTTTGACTATATCACCAAAAATAGTAGTCATAAATGGTACCTAAATGTTTTCTAGAAGTTAATCTGTTTGAAACCCCTAAAAAGTTTATCTGTTTGAAACCCTTTCAGAAATGTGTTTTATTTCAGATACCATTTCAAAGAACTTTAATTTTGATAGTAAAATAGGATCATGTATTGCTGCTTTTCACCACTGACAACTTTTATTTATGATTCCATGTAGTTTAATTTTTTCAAGACTACCACCAAATGTTTTTATTTTGAACAGTAACAGTGAAATGAACAGAATTGAAAAGAACAGTGGGGTAACATTGGACAAAAACTCTACTAGATTGATTTTTATTAAAAATTTATTTTCCAAAGTTACCCCACTGTTCAAAGTAACAACATTTCACGATACTAAGATATGTTACACATTTTCTGTAAATTATCAAGAAAGGATTCAGCTTTTTATAAACAATTTTCTTTTTTGCACCAACTGTAGTTTTAAACAAACTCAAATGACTTTTGGTATAAGATTAACACTGCCTTTGCTGGTGAGTGATACTTGTTAAATACCAGATGAGCCATTTTTATAATGTGCAACTTAATTTTATTATTTTTTCATAAACATTTTATCATTTAATTTAATTAATATTTCACATATAAACATAACACAGAAAATAGAAATTGATTAAAAATATGACTCTTTTCTTACCTTACTCATGTTTCCTAAATCAGTTATCATAGTTTAGTGTTACCCTTGCTCCGACACTTCATGGAGATTCTGATGTATATTGAAGATTTTGTTGGTTGCTTTTTACAAGTAAACATTGATAGCCAACTGATCAACAGATAGTAGGCCATATCTTGTGTTAGGGGTCGTCCATAAATTACGTCACACAATTTTTAACTGTTTTTGACCTCCCCACCACCATTGTCACAAAATCGTATCACTTATGAAGCAAGTTGTCACAAAACCATTAATCCCCTCCTCCGTCCTTGAAGCATGATGTAATTTATGGACAACCCCTTATGAAAAAATCTTTTTTGGCAGATAAGAGGCCTGGAATCTTTTTTTAATCACAAACTACCATGCAAATCACATGAGGTTGAAATTATTAGGTTTTAAAACCCTAAAAGTTTTATTATTTTTATTTTGAAATTTTCAAATTTACAAACATTATAGAGCTTTAAATCTAAAGAATGTAGTTGGATGTATATTTGACACGAAAACCATGAGGTGAAATTATTTTTAGCACATTTTTGATATATATACTTAAATATTGACCTAAATAGAACACAAAAAAGTTTGATTAAAAATAGAGCAATGATAAAAGAAAAATTTTCGAAATAATAAACAAAAACATTAAAGGAAAATTTACCATTAAGTTGCTTTTCTTTGTTATTGATTCTTAATACCTTTAGGTTTTTAATTTATATCAACGTTTAGTTTATGATTCGAAAGTTAAACATCAGTTCCTGAAGTTTAACTATCAAAATCATTGCTAATAGTATGATGTAGCAAGGATTTTCTCAAGAATCTGAATTTATGGGAAAAAAAGATTTGTCATCCATACTCTTAACTTGTTTTGATGCTAATATTAGTAATATACAAGATGTAATCCATATGCTTGAAGTTGTTTCTAAGATTTCTAAACGGAAATAGGAGATTTAAAAAGATAACTTCTATTGTTGTTCAGATAACACATCTTTGAATTATTGTTAAGCATATAATGCATATAAAGCAATAAAAATATCAAGATATATGACTTTTTAAAAATAGCTTACATAATTTTTATTTTTTCATCAATTCTTCTAATTCAACATCTTTCAATGAACAATGTAAAACTGATCCTTTAACATTTCAATGCTCTGATGCTTTAATGTTTTTAAAAATGTGGCTACGAAAATAACCGTTTTTAGAAGTGATGTTTTTACCATTTGCGCTAAGCTGGTTCGAATGAAGCTTTGTTGGTTTCCTTTCTATAAACAAAATAAAAAATTGTTTAATGTTAACAACTTATTAATTGCAAATCTTCAATAAAGTAATGACCCACAAAATAATGACTCTTTCTTATATTATACTGCATTTTAGCCAATTACCCTTGGAAACTTATTTGATAGTTTAAAATTAATGATTACGATTTTGGTATTACATAATTATGAAACATGAAAAACAAACATTTACAAAATCTAACTCTTATATTTTCTTCTTTTTTATTTTTATTTATTTGTTATATTTCCTAATAACTTTTTTTTTTGCAATAAAACAATTATTAAATAAAATATACCCAGATATATATTAGATATAGCTAGACTAGCAGGAGAAGGAAGTAACAAAAAAAACGCTTTCAAAAGTTATTTATCGCTATTTCTGGACTTTAGTGCCAACAAACTATAAAAGTGCTGAGATGTATTACTTTATAAAAAATCTCAATATTTAAGCTATAGGAAAGACTTATTAAAAAAAATTTTTAAGCTGGAGTAAAAAATGTTCAGTTTTAAAACATTAAATTCTGTGGCCGTTTAATTTCTTTAAAACCAGGAACATATAGTGATTAAAAGCAGTCTTTTTTGGGACATCTTTTCCCAAAAATTACTCAAGTACTGCATTCAAAAAGCTTTTGCTTTTGTAAAAAATTTTTAAAAATATTACTTCATTGTACATCCTTTGAAGCAATCATGACAATTCCAAAGCTCATCTTTTTTTTCAAATGCACTTTGAGGAATTCTTTCGCATTCACGATGAAACCAATTTTTGCAATTAAAACATTGAGCCATTTGCCTTAAAAAATTTATATTAAATTATTTCAATAAATTTAAAGGGATCCCAAACTCCCAACACATCCTGGATTCATATTAAAGATAATTTAAAAAAAAAAAGGTTTGTACCAAGTTTTTTTGTTTAAAAATAAATAATGAATGCATACCGAGAAAAACTAATGTTATTGTTTTAGCCGAAGCTTGCCTTCTCCATCCTTCTCAATTTCATTCAATAACTCTGAGTCTTCAAATCATACGTCGCAATCTACAGACTTCGGCAATTCCTATGAAGCGCGCCTAATTCATAAAAGTTTTAATATTTGACGTCAGGCTAGACTTTACAAATGAAATTCTGGAAATATTTTTATTCAAAATTTTTTTGATTATTTGTTTAGTTTTCTTTTTCTATTTTAAACATTTAAAAAGATATTAAAAACCTCAAATATTTTGTGCTGGTTCGTTGTTATAAATTGTTATTGGGCCATATATTTAATGTTTATAAATTATGAATATTTATTATCTCAATCAAGACTCTGAGAAAATTTTTTTTACATTAATTACCCATATAAAATTAATAACAGCATTTTTATTTGGTTAGACGATATTTCGTTTCAACTTGTTTTGCATGAAGTTCGAAAAGTCAAACACAAAAAATTAGTTTGAATAATCACGTCGAAATATATTTAAAACAAATTATTTTAATGACAGGGGTTCTAAAGTTTTTTATAACAAATGTAGGTAAAAAATAAATAACTAAATAAAAAAGTTCAACATTAAACATCATTTCTTTATTACATTGCAACTGCAAATATTGAAATGAAATGAAAATCATAAGATTGGTAAGTAAAGCTTAAATATTTGTTTTAATTTAAAATTAATAGAAATATAAGTAAAATACATAAATCTAAAAATTATTAAGATATCTGTAAAAAATAAGTTGCTCCTATAAAATAAAAATAATTTATTGTTTTTACATTATACAAAATTTTTTTTGCGTTATTTAGAAAAATAATACAAATAAATTTGTTTTGCTGTATAATAAAAAAATACTACATTGTACTTTTTGAATTAAAGTAGAAAAACGCAGCTTTGTGTATTTACACTTTTTATTTGTTAAAAGACTACTAAAATACTAAAACTTTTATGTGACGTCAAATACTAAAACTTTTATGAATTATATGCGCTTCAAAGGAATCGATTAAGTCTGTAGATTGCAACGTATAATTTGAAGACTCAGAGTTATTGAATAAAATAGAGAAGACGCGCTTCGGATAAAACAATAACATTAGTTATTCGCGATATGTATTCATTATTTATTTTTAATCAAAAAAACTTGGTTCAAACCTTTTTTTTTTTAACATTATCTTTAACACAAGATGTGTTGGAAGTTTAGGATACCTTTAAATTATTAAACATGCAATTTAAAGTCATTGCTTTAATGTAAAATAAAGAATGCCTACAAAAATCTTTGTAGATACACTTAATACTAAAGATAATGATTATGTTAAAATCTAAAATAATGTTTACAACTTATGATTTATTAAAATTAAATTTTAAATTTTAGAGTTATGTTAATGCCATAATATACCTATTAAAGATTTGTTCATCTTCATTGGTCCAAAACATACGACATGAGCAATGTAGAGGGATGCGAAAGTTCTTTGCCAAACATTTTTTAAACAGTAAGGGATTTTCAGTGACTGGAAATAGATCTAACTGGTTTTTTTTTATACAGCTTAGGAGATGATTTCTCATTTGCCCTTGTTCAAACATAATGGAAGTTGATGGTATACTTTTATTTTCTAGGATTTGCCGAGCCCAGGCAATGGCATACAATCCGCAATCCAAAAAATTAGTTTGTTGTTGAACAGGTAATACTTTAACTAATATACACTTTTTCTTGCAATGTAAAATAGAACATATTTGCTTTTTCGTCTCGACAGATATAGAGCCATGGAAAAGGCTGTCAAACATAAAAATTTCACCTGGCTTACAATTGTATGTGCTCACACAAATCCAGTGAAGATTCCCGTCATGAAGAACTTGAACAAAAGGAGTAGACTCATGTGTATTAAAAGCATTGATTTGACCCTTAATGGGATCCTGTAAACCCACGTTAATTTCTAACTGAATTGACATCATTTACTGGCTAAAATGAATAATTTTGTCATTAAGCATTTGACATTTTTCAATTTCAAATAGTTCAGCTTCACCAATCAAGGACGATTTGAGACTTTGAATACATTGAAACTTAGTTTGAAATTGGACATCGTTATTAACTTGGCTTATGGTGGCTTGAAGGTGTTTGTTGTTTTCAATAGATGTAGTTTCTTTAATTGACTCATGGCTAACTGTAAAGATTTTGCAATTTTCTTCAATTGAGTAATCAGTAACAATCTCAGAATAACAAGATTCTGACTTTTCCACTTTTACACAAATTTCTTTGGCTGCTTTACATAAGTCATATCTAGCACCAACTCGTTTCATCGTTTTTCTTTTTTGTGTAACTGGGATGTTAATAAGTTTTGGCAACTTTGATTCAGACTTGCTCCAAGTCTCTGGTTTAACTACTGGACGAAGAAGAATCCCTGTTTCCGTTGGAAGACTTTCAGACAAGCATTTTTTAACTTTTAATAATTCTTCAAATAAAGTATCTATTTTTTGTGAGTCACATAAATATGACAGCTGACTAATTTCATTCAATAATTCTCTACATTCTGCTGCAGTGTGGTAAGTAGTTTTAAATGGTTGATTATTATTAATTGGTAATGTTTGTCTAATTTGATCTGAATCAACTATTGTTTGTGGTTCTGCATTGTCATTGACATTTGTGGAATCATTAACAAAATAAACGGAACCCGGACAATATTCAGTATTTGTTAGACTACTTTCTTCTGACAATAAATCCAAAACAAAATAAGGAGAATTTCGATAAGCCATACCAAAAGCAGACCAAGATAGATTTTCTTTTAAGAATATAGCAAAAAAATGCTTGCATGGATAAGCAGAATTAAACCATGATGGACAAGAACAAGTTGGTAAACATTCATTATCACCTAGATAGCACTGGTATATTACCCGATTATTAGACTTCAATGATGCAACATTATATAATTTATCTGTCACAGCATTAATTCCTGTTAGATCTACACCATGTAATTTGTCAATCATTCGCATGCAATGATTAACCAAAGGGCGTGGGCGATTAGTTAAATATATTGGTATTTTCTCATGGTACTTTCTGTATGATGAGTTAGCTCTTGTGTTTTCATTGGTATAGCTAAAATACGATTGTTTTTTACAGTACAGTAAATAGAATTCTTGAATTTCCAAAATACATAGAAAGACAGTTAGACTTTAAAATAATTTTTGAAATCTGACAACAATCTAATATATTCAGAAGAATATTATTTATTGTTACTATTGTTTACTGTTACTATTATTATTGAAAGTAATGGTAGTATAGAGTTGACAATAACTGACTAACCTGTCATACTTGTGTGGAAGGAATTCTTCAATGCATATGCTAAGCATAGCGGTAAGGGAAGAATTTTTTCTTTTTTCTAAGAAACTGTATTTAAAACTTTGGTTTTGACGCTCAATTCCGTTGTTGGTATTCACATTCAGCAAAAGTCTATCTTGTCTGTATGCGGATACCCATCTCTAAAATTAGCCAAGTTTAGGATAATAGCAAAATAATTTTGACAGCTCATGACATAAATATTAAAGTTATATGTTTTGTAGTCTTAACAATTTTTATGTTATTAAAATTGCTTAACACCTTAGCATAAACTTAATTTATTTTGATAAACATATGTTGTAATAGTAACATAACATGCATCCACCTTACATGTTCCTCCTTTAAAAACTCAAAATGAGAATGAAGTCATTAAAAATAAAATAAAAAATGAATCAGCTGGAATTCACGACATTTTCTCAGATTAAAATTTACTTTTATTTAGTAATTATTTGTCTGGCGTGTGCAATTTTAAGAAATATTTGTTTTTGGTACCTCTTTAATTAGAATTTTATTAAGAAAAAAATTTGCTGCAATTTAAAAACATGTTTGAAATTTAAAAATAAAATAAAAAATGAATCAACTGGAATTTACGACATGGTCCGTTTGAAATTTACTTTTATTTAGTAACTATTTGCCTGGCATGCACAATTTTAAGAAATATTTGTTTTTTGTACCTCTTTAATTATGATTTGATTAAGAAAAAGATTTGTTGCAATTTAAAAACACGTTATAAATTTTTTAGCGAGCGCTTAAAAAAATGCCAGTCGTAGTATTGGTAGACATGTTGGCAAGTGCAAAACTGCAAAAGCACTTGTCAAACAAAGAAGACTGCATTGTTAGTTGCATGTTTTAGGAAAACTAAACTATTTTATATTCTCAAAAACATCAACACAAACCTTTTTGATACACAACCAAGTATTTTTTAAATACTCTTTTAGTTTTGGATGATTATTATACTCAGATGAATCTTTTAATGCTTTTTCAGCTTCTTTACAAATCTCAATTGTTTTTGAATGAGCTATTCGACGTAACATAACCTTGACATCTTCCTTGACAATTAAACACCCATTACTAGATTTCGATAGCCAACGCTCCCAAGCTTGCTCACGATGAAAATCGCAAATAAATACACTACATTCTACATTAAAAATATGACAATACTCCATAAAAAAACTTTTTTAAAGAAACTATTTATTCATTATTGATGAACAATAAGAAGTAATTAATTTGATAAAATGAATAATTTTTTTTTAGTCAACACATTATACTACTTTTTTGGTTTTTTAACTTTATAAAACAAAACAAAAAAGCAGTTTCTGTTATAAATGTAGTAATTAGTATATAACCGGTTCTCTATATATTTTAGCTAACTGACTTTTTTTTAAGAATAATAAAAAAAAATAAGATAAAATTTTTTTTTCTGCTTGACTTCAAATTTTATTAAAGCTCTTATACCTTTATTATATACAGATATTTTATTATCAATGATATGATAGTAGTGCAAATATCACAAGGTGAACATTTCAGTTACAAAGGTTTATAAACAAAACAGCAAAATAATAAATTAAAAGGCAAGTTTATTTGTAGGAATAAAAACTTTTTATTAATAATTTCTTTAACTAAGAACAATTTTTTATAACAAAATGGTTGACTTTCCAAATAAAATAAATATTGAATCTCTACTTAAAAAAAATATTTTTTATAACAAAAATTTTTACCGGGAAACACTGACTCAAGTGAATTTATCTCTTCATTTGAATAGTCTGTCATAAAGTATTTAGGTTGGAATGAAGGATTCCATTTTTTAATAAATATTAGTGCTTCTTTAATGGCTTCTGTTGTTTCATTTTCACATACAAAAATGGCAACTATTTGATAATCAACATTAGTTTTTACAACTAGGAAGAAGAGAGGAAGTGCATATCGAGTAGTTCGGTATGTTGCATCAAGAAATGATAGCTCATTGCCATAACGCAAGAGTAACCTTCTTTGCCATTTATCTTGAAAAATGAACAACAAGGACTTTTGAAGGTCTTGATTATTGTCCTCTAAATTGTTTTCACCTTTGGGACGAAACTTTATAAAAGCTTCTTTATAATTATTTGCCCATTCTGCTACCTTTTTATTTAAACACTCTTGGTCTATTAGGGAGTGACACATTTTTTTTCTAGCTTTTAGCATATGGTTGCGGATAGTTTCATCCAACGGGAAAAAGCGTTTGTTGGATTTATTTGGCATACTTCTTGAACTAAAATTGATGTGAACAAAGTTCTCCAGATGCCGCCTCATCTCTGTTACACTATTTACTCCAACTTTAACTAGTTCTCCAATTTTGATAACAAGTTCGTCTGAAATAGGTTGAATGAGACCTGCTGCCTTTAACAAGTATAGTTAATTGTTAAAAAGAAGTAAAACACACAAGATATTGTTAAAAATACGTAATAAAACTTACATTGCCAATTAAATGGTTTCTGTGCACAGTAATATCTGGTATAATCAAGACATACTTTCTAGACACTATCATATTTTTGTTTCCAGTCAAAGCTAAACGGAGTTTTTTTGATGTGTCTTTCCTGAGCCATTCAGAATCTCTATAAACCTTTAAGAAAATGTACAAATACATGTTTAATAACACATACAAAGTTGTGATCAGACGCTATACTAGGAAAAAAATATGGGTGGTGGTACCCCATATTTTTTTCCTAGTATAACCTGATATAATCGGAAAAAACAATATTTGCCATAAAAAATATTGAAAAAAAGAAAGAGGTCCTTGATTTTTCATTTAGGCGGCCCCTAAATCGGTGCCCAAATACGGTCAACGCTGTAATATATAATAAACATTTATTATAAAAAAATTATAAATTTATTGTTGATAAGGCATTTTATAAAAGGGTTCTAGTAAAGTATAATATATATTGATAAGATTTACATGGACAGATACCAAACTACTTTAGGCAGATTGCCCAATCTATTTACAAAAAGAGAGTCAACTCTCTTTTTGTAACTTAAACTTGTTACTTTAATCAGGAATTTTATTAAATATTATCATATTATAAGTCATAAGTTACTCTATCATCTTCGCTTGTTAAAAAATACAAAGTACTATACCTTAAACTCTGGAAATTCTAGTATTTCTTTTATGTGAACCTTTGCAGGGCAATCGAATTTCTTTGTAACTTGCACAATATTTTTATGTTTTCTACAAGAATGGTCTCTTGCCTATATATTAGAATATATATATATATATATATATATATATATATATATATATATATATATATATATATATATATATATATATATATATATATATATATATATATATATAAAGTAGTCAGACATTTAGACCAAAGGAAATTAAATTCTATAAATTAAATACTTTATTATATTTATAAAAATTAAAAGTAAAGTAAATTAAAAATAAATTAAAAGCTTTAAAATAAAACTCAAGCTAAAATTACTTTTTGTTACATTTTTTATTGCATTTAAAAGAAATTACTTTAAAACTTATCTTTTGAAACGCTTTATTAAAGTTACGCAAAACACTTTTACATATTACTCCTATTTATTGTTTAATAAATAAACTAATTTTATTTAAATTATTGAAAAGAAAAAAATATAATACTTTTAAGTTGTTTAAACATTTTTTTCAAAAAGTTGCCAAAAAAAAATTGTCTAAAAAAACAAACATTGTCTTTTTAAAACGTAATACTTAATCATTTCATTCTTTGACTAAAAGTCAAGTTTGAAAAAAAAAAAAAAAACTTTAAAACTTTGTAAAAAAAAAGGCAATTAAATCCTAGAAAGACTTAACTTATTCATAATTTAAACATGCAAAAAATTATCCTTTCAATAAAAAATTTTTAAAAGACTTTTTATGATAAATTTAAATATTTGAAATTATTTTAAAAATAGTTTCAAATGTTTAAATTTATCATAAAAAATACATACCTAGAAAAAAAAAATTAAATATAACATTTATTTACATATAATGCGTTTATTTTAAATTATAATTTTTGTACTTGTTGGAGATGTCAAAAGGGGTTTGTCTTTAACAACAAAAAATAAAAAGCACCTCTCATGACAATTATTACATTACTGCAATTTCATGAATTAATAGTCTGGCTTAGATGAACCAGAAAATAAAACAATTACCAATGAGTAGTAGATGTAAAAGACGGCTATGGTGAGGGTCATAGGACACACCTCTCTTGATGACTTATGACAACAACCATGTTTTGGGATAAAGAAGGAAAACGAACTAATAAAGTAGTACCAGATGGTGATGCAACAGTTTAAGAGTTAAGATTAACTATTATAATTTGCCTATGTGATATCAGCTCTGCATCCATACCTTGTAATAAGATTTGGATTTAGCAAAGTCCATAGCTAGATGAAAGACTCAAAGCCATTTTTTTGTGTTATAATTAGAGACAGAAGTACTATCTAATATATTGTTTTGAAAAAAACAATAAGATGGCTGAATATATTTAACTAACTGATAATGGTAATGTGGATTGAAGCAAAGATGGAGAATCGAATAGGGATAATTTTAACTAGGGTGATTTTGAAATGAAGCCCCTTAACTTTGAAGCGGTTAGTGATTCAAAACTAATTTTTTATATTTTTCATAGAAAACAACTTAAAAGAGAGTGAGATGCGCAAATGCAAGAAACATAAAAAAAAAATCAAAACAAAACACTTGAGTTTTAAAAGATATAATACCATGGCAGGGAAATGTTACCGTTGAGATTTTACCTGTTAGTTATATAACTGAGGTTACAAAGTGAGACATTGGAATGCAACAATAATATACAATTTAAAATTAAACAAAACTAGTTATAAAACCAAATATGAACATAAAAATTTTAAATAAAATTTGGTAGAGATAATGAAAAATAATTTTTTATTCAGTATGAGATTGATACATTATTTAAAAGAACTTAAAATAAATAATAATAAATTTATAAGAAAAAACTAAAAAATCTCATAATTGAAAAAAACAGTTTTATCGATATGTATTAAATGTTAAAGATAAGATATTGATAACAATAAAAAAAAAAAAATTAAACAATAAAAAAAAAATTAATAATTTTTTTTTTAGCACGAACTTTAAAGCTGTTGTGTAACTTACTGCTTCATCATTTTTTTTTCTCTCTGTACTCAGCCTTTACTTTAACATTTCGGTCTTTCCCTTGTTGACAGTCAAGAGTAGACTGTGAAGATATAATAAAAGGAACTCCAGAATAGGGAAAATCTTTATCTTCAAAAAAAACTTTATGATTTTTTTTTGTCAATTTTATAAAACAAATAAATAAATATTGCCATTATATCTAAAACAACTTATTTCAGAAAATGAAAAAATAAAAATATAATTTAATATCTATTTATAAACCAAGATTGTATATAGAAGGGTATTAATGCATTATTTTATTTTATTTATTTTTAAATAAGTAAATATTTCAAAAAATACTTTATTTTTAAAATTACAAATATTTACATTAAAATTGTTTAACTTAATAAAATAGACTCTAGAAGTATAATATAAAATATAAAAGGAATAGAAAAGATCAATATTGATAATTTTTTTTTACTTTTCTACCTTTTTACTTATCATTACTTCCATAACTATCAGCAAAACATTTCTCCAGAAAACAAATGTCCGTTTACTATTGCTAGAAACTATTGTAAAAAGGTTTTGTCTAATGCATAAACCCACTATTCTCACTATCACACTATTCTCAGGTCATGAAATTTTGTATTTCATCTAAAAAATTAGGCTCTTGTGACTTCTGGAGAACATGCAACAGCAGCATAGAAAAAAAAAGGCAAGCAGCCAATTTGACCAGCTAACACATGGAATTGATGGTCAATTGTTTTTTTGGACAGTCAAAATTTTTATTATTTTCTTTGATTAATTTTAAATTGTAATTTTATATACACAAAAATAATGAATGGTTGAAAATTAAAAAACTTGTATTTTTAAAAAAAAGATAATTTTAAATAAAATAAATGCATTTTAAATGGGAATGCAAATAACTAACATTCAAATTACATCTATACATACATCTTTTATTTTAGGCATAAACATATACTTCTATATACATTGTTGGATTGTAAAAATTTTTTAAATTTGCAAACCTTGTAATTCCTTTCCCATTCCTCTGGAAAATGCTGAAACATAATGCACTGTGTGCAATATTTGGTGTTCTTTTAGTTTTAAACAAACATCTCTATACGCATTAAAAATGTATCGTTCTTTGTGAGTTTCTTCAACGAAATCAAAAGGTACTGTTGTTGATTCTGGTTCTGCACATAGTAAATAAATGAAAATTATGAAATAAAAAATTTTGAATAATAATTATATTTCAAAATTTAAAAAAAAAATTAAAACTTGTTTCTTTTACCGAATATTTAACTTCATAAGTATACATTTTTCTACCTAATATTTGCCATATGTAAAATATTTATTTAAAAATGTATTAGTTTATGTCATAAATTAAATGCAAAAAGAATGTGCCTTAGAGCAAAGTTTCAAGTTTAAGTTAAACTTAAAGCCTGCATCAATTAAATATAAAAACAAAAAACGAAATATATTAATTTTTTAAGATATACGTTAGGTATACTATCACAAAGTATCAATTCTTGATACTTAAAAAACATTAAACAATGTTAATTAAACTAAGTTAATAACATTTTAACTAATTTTTATTTTTAAGTTTAACTTTGTTTCAGTGCAATTAAGGCTTAAATACACTTAATGACATTAATTAATTTATATTACTAATATAAATAAATTAATGCCATCAGTTGATATCATATTACTATATTAATATTATTAATATTTTTGTTCAGATATATTTACATTAAATATAAAATCTTACCAACAAAATCTTTGGGATCTAATGAAGAAACAATCTCACAAACACTACAATCTCCCAAATTATTCTCGTCCATTTTATTCAACTTTTAAATTTTTTTGATAAATACAATATAAATATCAATAAACAAATATAAGTAAATATTCAGAGAGCAAACTTCGTTCGAAATTTTTTATTTCAAAAGCATGGTAATAAAATTTTCGGATGCTTTTGAGACAATCTTTGCGTCATAGTTGATATCAATAAATTTTTCCGTAGTCTGCAAATTTTAAAATCTATGGCACCTCCTTTTGGTGCATGCTAAAGATCGCTAACCATATAAATCTTTTTTTATTTTTAATTAACATAATGTATATTAAAGAAACGTAAGCCGCTTTAACAATTTATTGCATTTTATTTAAGCATAAACCTGTGATTTATGCTTAAATTTAACAATATTTTTTTTCTAAAACAACGCGACTATTTTTGGCTAGATTTTTAATGGTGTAAAAGCGGCTAAAACAGTGCATACCTTTTTACGGGGAGAAGGATTTTTGTATTTTTTTTTTTTTGTTTGTTTAAAAAAGTGCAGTAATGCAAAAATGTTTGATATTGACTTAAAACTTAACAACTTTGTGACGTAATATCTTGTTACACTAATTAGTTTTATTCCGGTGAACAGCTATTTCTTATTAATTTAATCACACGTTATTAAAAATTTACTTCGATTTCTATGTAATTTGAGTAAACTTGTTTCTTTAGTAAAAAATATTGGACAAGAATATTTAAAATTCAAACCTTTAACCGAGTTTAGTAGAATACTGAGTGTATTCTTAAAATTTCCGACATTTGTCAATAAAAAATTTTAAAAAACTTTTTTTTGACAAATGTTTTTTTTTTAAATAACTTATTTAACGTTCACCAAAAAGATATGACTAATTAGGTTTGTTTGATTTATGTTTATTATTTAACTTATTAGCTACTGATCTTAATTCCTACTGATTTATACACCTGTGTATTGACTTTTACTTTGCTTCTAACTAGAATTGAACCCGTCATTTCGAAAAGGGCACAAGTCCATTTATTCAAACTTTTCAGGAGCAACAAAAATAAATTTATAAGAAAAAAAGTTTATGGTGCTAAAGAAACTGAATATAAGAGTAGATAAATAAAAGTCATACATAAGTTTTTAGAGTTTTATTTATTATAAAAAAACAATATAAAACACATATATTTTTAATTTAAATTTATGGACTTATGTCTTTTTCGAAATGAACACTTTTTTGTATATAAAAATTCAAAGATTATCAGAATAATAATGACTTATTTTTACATAAAAACAATTATTGTTAGTTAATCATCACTTAATTCATTGTTTGTCGAAGTTGTTGGCCAAGCAAAAACCTTTGTATAGAAATTTTGGTACTCTTTTATTGAATATGGAATATATTTTTCTATTTTTTTCAAATCTGATAGGCAATTTTCCAACATATGCAGGAGTACTACTTAATGGTAAGGTTGGCCTTGTACCCATCCTTTGTAATAGCTGAAAATCATAACTGACTAAACAATCTATGGATTCACGTGTTGTCACTAAACCTGGTGTGGTCTTAGAGAATGTGAAATGTGACACTTAAGAAATACCAAAAGTAACTTTTTTGTCCTAGGGTACTCCTTTTCCATAGGAATCCACAGATAGCACAAGTTTCCTATAATGGTTTGGCCACCATTTTTTTAAATCAATAATATCTTCAGATTTGGGCCTTCTAATTTCAAATTTTTCGCTTGCTTCAGCTATAAGATTTTCATACTCTGTTGGTGTGTAAATCCGATCATTTTTTCGAATATGTCGCTTTGCTGTTCTAAACATTCTATCATTAGGCAAGAATGAGTGACCTCTTTTTGGTATGTAATATTGTATCTCATTTATATTGCTATTTAGTTCAGCTACTAGTGATAAAAGTATTCGGACCATGGCATGATTTCTGTTTTGGCCTGCACAACCATCAGAAAATAGGTTCAATTCTTTGGCTTCGTTACCAATATTTTTAAAAATATAATCCAGCACAAAGGTACATACTTCGTTGGAACCTTTGTTAGCAACTCCTTCACAATATGAATAAAATACTGATTTACCAGTTTTAAAATCATATATGCAAAACTCATACAGCCATAGTTGACGTAAATAAAATATTTCCTGGACAGGGATATGTGGAAGTAGCAAATTTTGCATAAAATCAAATGCAATCCCATACACATTTGGATCGTTTTTGCACTTTTAGTTTAATTTTTAACTCTTTGCACAGTCCACAGACATCTATTTGCTTTCTACCTAATGATAAACTAAAATTTTCTTGGAAAAATTTAAGGTAGAACTTATATTTAACAGGATGATCTAGATATTTTTGTGCGTATAACGTGTGCATAATTTTCACATTGAGTTTTTCATCCAAATAATAAGATGATGCATCTTTACTATAGTAGTGCACATATTTAACAGGAAATTGTTCGATATGCTCACGTAATTTTGTTAATGTATCTCCAAGTATTGCGTTGCATCGTGATCCCTGAGATTTACCTCTGTGATCTATAGGCTGCTCTTTTTTTTTAATAAAATGCATAAACGTCTAACTTGTTTCATAGAAATTCCATGCATACTGCAAAAAGCTTTCTTGCATACTTTTTTTATCACACCTTCAACCTTAATGTGATAAATAAAAGAAAATTCTTTTTCCTTAGGTTCTTCAGATCTAAACCGTCTTCTCTTTATTTCCTTCTTTTCAATTAATTACTGCAAGCATGTGTCTTGGGCATTTTTACTATCAAATATGTTAACAAACTGAATTGTACTTTCTATAACATCTTCGAAGATGTTTTCTCAGTTATATAGTTTTATTTATTTACAGATGTAATTCAAAGTGTATGGAGCTTGTATTTGAAGCTTCAGATACAAGCTCCATACACTTCGAATTACATCTGTAAATAAATAGAACTATTGAGTTAATAATATAATAATTATATATCAATATGTTTTACCTCCAAATATTGGTGGTAAAGCATGAGTAAATAAGCAAAAATTTGAGAACGAATATAGTCATTCTATATTATAGAACAAAAAACTAACCTGCAAGAAGCACCTGTTTGCCTTGGTGCCACATCATTTCCTTTATGGTTTTTATAAGCTTCTCCAACAATTTTGGCTTTTTTTATTTTTTCGTGTTTATACTTTCACTGTTTCTCATACCAAACACTCTTTTTCTAGATTTATATGCATTTTCAGCAAGCTCGCGATTTTCCATTTTTGTTACAAATAAAGTGAGATTACGTCACTACAGTTGCGCTTCGTTTCACTTGAAAAAGGCATAAGTCCGGGCTTTGTGCCATTTTCAAACAGACTTTAATTTTCATTTGCATTTTAAGTTGACTTGTGGCATATGAAAATGTTTCTCCTTCAAAGGGAATTTGTAAAACACTTAAATAAATAAAATTGCATTAAAAAGTGAAATTCGAAAAAAGTGTGACTTGTGCCCTTTTCGAAATGACGGGTTCAATTGTTAAACAGTATAGATTTTATTACTGCAATATAGAAGTCAAACTCAATTCTTGTAGAACATCCACAGTTCCTTAACTTCTATCATTAAAATAAGTTTTAAATAGAGCTCTGGACCATATGACGATTTTCTCATACCATGGAGGTATTTAATAAACTGTCTAGTATTATTTCGATACTTGCATTAACTTTCCGAACCGCGAGGACAAAACAAATAGCGCTCGCCTTTTGAATTTTGGTAAAGTGAAAAAGAACGGCTGGTATAGACTGCTTCATTTTATAAATATTGGTATTTTTTCTTCTAATCGCAATTTCAATGCGATTCTGGTCTGACAGTTTATTTCTACTTGAATTTAGAATTTAAGCTACTATTTAATTTTATTAAACTCCACAATCAGGTACCAAGCACGTCTATATATACCCAGTTTTACCAGAACTTTTTGTGCAACATAAACCCGGTGGGAAGCGAGCTAGCGATTAGCTAGCGACTAGCTAGCTTTATAGCGATTTTTGAGCGATTTTTTTTTTCTTATTTAATTCTTTCCTTAAGTCTTTAACATCTTTAAAAATTTGATTTTTAGTGTTGGATCTATTATAATTATGAAAATAATTGAATTTTAAACATTGCGATATTGTAAAGATACATAGCTAGCTATATATCGCAGTTTTTTAGTCAGCGATTTTAATACGATATGACACTAGCTACATATCGCATTTGTTTAGCTGGCAACTAGATAGCGATATATCTTTAGCCATTCGATAGCTACATATCGCAGCTTCTTAGCTATCGATTTAATTACGATTAATCGCTAGTTACGTATCGTAGCTTTGTAGCTAGTTACAAGATAGCCACAAATCGATAGCTAGTTGATAGCTACATATCGCATTTTTTTAGACAGCGATTTTAATACGATATGACGCTAGCTACATATCGCATTTATTTAGCTGGCAACTAGATAGCGATGTATCTATAGCTATTCAATAGCTACATATCACAGTTTCTTAGCTATCGATTTAGTTACGATTAATCGCTAGTTACGTATCGTAGCTTTGTAGCTAGTTACAAGATAGCCACAAATCGATAGCTAGTTGATAGCTACATATCGCAGTTTTTAGATAGCGATTTTATTACGATTTATCACTAGTTACATATTGTAGCTTTATAGCTAGCTACAAGCTAGCCACAAATCGATAGCTACTTGCTAGCTATATAATGCAGTTTTATTGACAATGATTTTATTACGATTTATTGCTAGTTACATATTGTAACTTTGTAGCTAGCTAAAAGGTAGCCACAAATCGATAGCTACTTGTTAGCTATATAATGCAGTTTTATTGACAACGATTTTGTTACGATTTATCGCTAGTTTCATATTTGTAAGCCTTTTTAGCTAGCTACAAGGTCGCCATAAATAATGCTAATAATAATTGAACTTTAAAAGTAAAGATTTTATTACGATATGTCGACAGCTACATATCGCAGCTTTTTAGCAATCGATTTGAATCCAAAATGTCGATAGCTGCATATAGTTGTGATTTAGCTAGCTAGAAGATAACGAAAAGTCTTTAGCTACATATTAGAGCTTTTAAGCTATCTATATTTTAGCACGAAATGTCGATAGTTTTTTAAAGTAAATTAAAAACACCGATGGTGTTTTTAATTTACTAAATACAATATTATTATTTATAATTAAACTTAGATGGTGTTTTTAATTTACTAAATACAATCCCGTCATATATATATATATATATATATATATATATATATATATATATATATATATATATATATATATATATATATATATATATATATATATATATATATATATATATATATATATGCATATAATTTTAATGCAAGACCGGAATTTTTTTATTTATTTTTATTTTATTATTTGATAGACTGACTGCCCAAACCAAACCTTCAGTCGATGTAGCAGCACTCCTTTGCGAGTCAGGCTATTTGTCAGTCAGGCTATAAGGTAGTCGATATAACAACACTCGCACATGATTTACACTAAAAAAAATTAAAAAAAATATTTTATTTAAAAAATAAAATAAAAACATTGTTTATATTTTTAAAAACATTCTCAATGTTTTTAAAAACATTCTGGTCAATTAAATTTGCGTTTTTGCGGTTTTTTAAAAAATAATTAAGTTAATGGTTTTAACTTTATGACAACACGGAAATGTAAGATGAATGTCAAAAGTAATTAAAAGTGACGTAACTTGTTGTCAAAAGAATCATTTTTAACCTTCCGTACTCTCAAAGCCAACAATTTATAGAACTCTCTCTCTCTCTTTCTCTCTCTCTCTCTCTCTCTCTCTCTCTCTCTATATATATATATATATATATATATATATATATATATATATATATATATATATATATATATATATATATATATATATATATATATATATATATATATATATATATATATATAGCTATATCTGTAAAAAAAAATTAAAAAACTATATAAACTTTAATTTTTATAATACAGTTGGGTTATTTCTATATTATAATAAAGTTTATTTTTCATTTAAAAAATCTAAATACTTTTGTTTTCTCGATTAAAAACGCATTAACGCGAGTCATGAAATTGCTGTCTAGAAGTTTTAATTAACATACTTTAGTATACCGCATTACGCAATACCAGTTATGCAACTAATGATTTTTGGCAATATTTTACTAACGACTTAATTTGTCATATTGAAATTTACTATACATAACCAACAATTTTATCGATATTGCTTTTTTCGCACTATCACTCTACTATTCATATTGTTTTAAAAATATCAATATCGATATCAAAAATGGCATGTAAAAGATCTAAAGATGAACCTTCGGAATGCAACAGCTTTCTTCAAAGCTCTAAACGGATGGGCCAAGTTGCAACGGTAATTACATTTCATTTATTTGATCTATATGTAGGACTCTAATAATTTAACTCGCATTTTCCTCTTTTATTTTAGTTTTTATTATGTTACCGTAAACCGTTACTTTGAGCGTTTTTGAGGGTTACTTCGAGCGTTACTTTGTTGTTGAGCGTTACGAGGGTTACTTTGAGCGTTTTTGAGATATTTTTACTTGCTTTTTCCTCACCATAGGCAATATTTAAAATTTAACAAAATGAATATAGGGGCTAAGGTTGACTCATGCATAATTCAAATTCAAAATATTATTTAAATAATATTAATTTAAACAGTTTAATATTAATTTAAACAGTCATTTAAATTTCTTTTAAAATCATTTTCTTGTTATACGATATTTATGTTTTATAAAATGAGTTTTTAAAATCATTTTATTATTTCTAAAAACCCTTTTTTGCGTTACCATTAAATAAAATGTTTAAAAAAAGTTGTCACAGACTTATTATGTCAAATGTTGGTTGTTTCCTAATTATTGGAATTCCATTTACTATAAAATTTTTGGTATTACATACTTAGTTTTAAATCATAACGGTCTTGTTTAAACGCATCAACGTTTTTGCTTTTGTATAAAACCAAAAACGTTGATGCGATTCTTAAAAACGTTAAATTGCTGAAAACCGCAAAAATCATACAATAAAAAGCTTTAATTTTGTAGTTTAAAAGTTAAACAAATTTTCAACTAATAATAATAAAACGATAAGTTTGTTATTTTTTAACTGTTGATTATTAGTTCAAACTAATGAAGTTTGTTTTGTTTTCATTTTACATTTTTTCTAAAAATATTGAAGTGCCTAATACAGTAGCGTTTAAGCTAGCTAGAAGATTACAAAAAGTCTATAGCTATTTGCTTGCTACATATCGCAGCATTTTTTTTAGCTATCTATATTTTAGCACGGAATGTCGATAGTTTTTTATACAGTTGTAGTTTCGGCCCACCTTTCAATGTGAGCATTTTTAAACTAACTCAATAAATTATTTTTATTGTAATCAATGCACAAAGCATTGCATAAAATGTGTTGAGTATTTAACTTAGGTAAAGTTGAGTTGATTATGAGCTGTATTTATTATGATTTCTTTTGTCCTTTTTTAGTAATAGATTTTTGTATATGTCAAGGATTAACCTTTTTTGGATATTCCCAGAATTCTGGAAATTTTTGTAACTTTTTTTTTGCTGGATATCTAAAACATTTTCTATACTTAAAAGTTTAAATACATCTATTTGTTTTCTAAGCTTTTTCACTCATCACTCATAAAAAAATAACGAAAAGTTTGAAAAAAAAAAAGAAAAAACTCAGCTATAAGCAAGAATAAGAGGAAAATAAGAGAAAATATTTTCCGGTTATTTTACCCAAACAAATTTCCGGATTTTTAAAATATTGCATGGAAGATCTATGATATGTATATTGTATAAAGCTATGATTGTATGTATATTAAAAAAGTTATTTTTTTTAGCATATTCTTACTGCAGAATCAGAAGTAGAAATTGATTTTAATACATCAAAAAAAAAAACACAAGAAAACTCCTTTAAGTCAACAAAACAGAAAGAGAAAAAAAAATGTATTTTTGAAGAACCTCCTTTACCATCATTACCGTTATGGGAGCCACCAAAGCTTCCTGATTCCGATTCAGTATACATTTTAAAATTTTATCCTATTCGTAAAAATAATATTTTTTTTTGTTTAATTTTTATGGCTTATTTGCTTTTTTTAGTTACCATTTTTTAATTAAAAAAAAAAGTATAATATAATCAGAATATTGTGAATGTATTTATAATCATTGTTAATCTTGTTTAAAACTTTTTGTCCGTCTCTGCCTCAATGGATCAAGTAGATGACTTGCCAGTTACACAGATAGTGTTTCCATCAGAAATGCAGTCTGTTTCACAAGTTTAACCGTTACTGCATTCATCTTCTTCCTTTTCTTTACCATCTCAAAAAACTGGGATAGACCAAATAAATAACTTTATTCGGAAAGCAAATGTTGAACCCAATACTGTTGAAGGCATTCAATTTATAGTGAACTCCATATACAGAAAACTTTGTGGGTTAGAAACAGAAATGCGTTCCATGCGTTCAATTTTAGACACTAATCATGGTAATAAAGAAAATATTAATATAGATTATTTACAAGCTAATTTAGTTGAAGAGTTTGACTCACTAGAAAATAAAATAATTAACTCTAATGATATAGATATCATTTGCAGAAAGTTAAAGCAAATTGATGGGAGAAATGTAAGTGACTTTTTAAAAAATGCTTTAAAAACTTGTTTAACAAACAAGCTGTGCTGCAGCATTAATCGAACTGGTGCAGATAAAAAGCGTAGGTTTATAGGACCAGTCGAAAGTTTGATTTTTGATGCAGCTTACTGTTTATTTCCAACTGCCACTGAATCCAGTATGACTACAATAATTGCGAAACACTTGAAAAAGTCTAAAGATTGTTATTTTGCTGCAAGAAAGAGAAGTTCTTCTTTAACAAGTGATATACAAATACACAGTCCTGTTAGAAAAAAAAGAAATTTAAACACTGACTCATGTAGTGATTCCAGTTAACTTATTTTTTTTGTTTATTTGTTCTATTATTTTTTATTGACTTATTTTTTTTTTAGATATTTTATTTGTTACAACCTTTTTAGCAATAATTTTCGAAAATTGATAAAGATTAAAAAAAAACTAAAATTTGACAGAAATTTTATTCTATTATCTTTTTAAATATCTTTTAAAATTATTAATTTAATTTAGGCAAAATCATTTAGTTGTTAATGACTTTTTATTTTTCAAAAGTAATCTATAACTTTTCTTTTAACATTTTATAATGGCTTTAACATTTATAACTTTTTATGGAAACAAGTATTAACATTTTGTATTTAACTTGTTATAAATGCAATCTTATTTTAATGGTTATAATTCACTCCCCTGAAAAATATAGCACGCGATTCTTTGAGCATATCTTCTAACCTAGCCGAGATTTTCTAGCCAAATCGATGTCATTGCCGTAACGACTTAATGCTAGCTATTCGCTAGCTTATTTAGCTAGCAATCCTCGTGGCCATACCGCTGTCTTTATCGTAACGACTTGTCGCTAACTTGTTTAGCTAACGGATCGCTAGCTTATAAAGCTAGCGATCCTCGTGGCCAAATCGCTGTCTTAATCGTAACGACTTAGTGCTAGCTATTCGCTAGCTTATTTAGCTAGCGATCCTCGTGGCCAAATCACTGTCTTAATTGTAACGACTTAGTGCTAGCTATTCGCTAGCTTATTTAGCTAGCGATCCTCGTGGCCATATCGCTGTCTTTATCGTAACGAATATCACTAGCTATTCGCTAGCTTGTTTAGCTAGCGGATCGCTAGCTTATAAAGCTAACGATCCTCGTGGCCAAATTGCTGTCTTAATCGTAACGAATATCGCTAGCTGTTCGCTAGCTTGTTTAGCTAGCGGATCACAAGCTTATAAAGCTAACGATCCTCGTGGCCAAACCTTAATCGTAACGAACATCGCTAGCTATTCGCTAGCTTGTTTAGCTAGCGGATCGCTAGCTTATAAAGCTAACGATCCTCGTGGCCAAATCGCTGTCTTAATCGTAACGAATATCGCTAGCTATTCGCTAGCTTGTTTAGCTAACGGATCGCTAGCTTATAAAGCTAACGATCCTAGTGGCCAAATCGCTGTCTTAATCGTAACAAATATCGCTAGCTATTCGCTAGCCGATTTCCCACCGGGAAATTGCTCTTCGTTCTACATAAGATTGTTACAAAACCAAAGGAACGAACTTGTGTCACGATATCTACGATTTTATCTTTAAGATTTCTTTATGAATCAAGTATTGATGTCTATTAATCTGACAAAATTTGTAAACAGTACCTATAACTTCGTGGAACCTGAAAAATGTTCATAATTTGATTGACAACTGCGTTCTTTTTCCACTGTTCATATGCAAATAAATTTTCTTTACTCATTAATATTTTGAAATTAATGCGGAAGAATGCTTTCAGTGGATTTATTTATTTATTTTGATCTAACCATAAAAATAAGATCTTCATATTAATTACACTTATTAATTACAAACATTATTTTATGTTATCATTATCTTATTAATAAACTTGTGTGATTTTTTACCATATTCAAATTAATGACTTCTAAACTAACCTCGTGTGATTTTTTTTTACGATATTCAAATTAATAACTTCTTTAATAAACTAACCTCGTGTGATTGTTTTTTACGATATTCAAATTAATGACTTCTTTAATAAACTAACCTTGTGTGATTGTTTTTTACGATATTCAAATTCTTTGACATAAAAAAAGAAATTTTTCTTTACTTTTGTTTGATAAATAAGTGATTAATGTTGACCGTTTATTAATTAGTATTTTATTTCATATTTTTTACTTTTACCTATGATCAAAAGTAAAAATATTATGTTGTAGTTGGTAACTGTTGGTAACAAGAATTTGAAAATTTAAAAGAAATTTTCAAATCTTAGTATTAATCTATTGTTATGGAGTATAAAATAAATTTGTATTTTTATTAAACAAAATTTTATCTTATAGATTGCAAGATTTATCCAATACATAGCAAGATTTGCTTAAATCCTCAATATTCGAATAAAATTCCATGAAAATTATGTTAATTATGATTAATGATGTTAATTATTTAAAAACTTGGTTTTAGTTTTGATGAGCTGATTTAAAGATATATTAGGAATTTCATTAAAAATACAAAAACATTAACATATAGTCAGCCGAGAACTAAAATTTTCTGTTTATTATTCAACATCCAATGGATTGTGTCTAGTAAATCTATTTTCAAGAATGATACAACTTTTAAAAATCTTTAAAAGACTAGTCGGACATTTTGACAGTAAGTCTTTACAAATTAAATCTTAAAACTTGATTTTCTCGTGATTTGTGAAAATAAAAAGCTAATCATATTTACATAATTTTAATGTGCATGTATAATATATATATATATATATATATATATATATATATATATATATATATATATATATATATATATATATATATATATACATATATATATATATATATATATATATATATATATATATATATATATACATATATATATATACATATATATATATATATATATATATATATATATATATATATATATATATATATATATATATATATATATATATATATATATATATATATATGTATATGTATATTATGTTTTTTTATTATGTTTTTTATTTCTGCAACACCATACATAGTGCAGAAGAAATAAAAAGCAAAACAAAGACATTTCGTTTTTTATTTTGTAATATATATATAAAATATATATATATATATATATATATATATATATATATATATATATATATATATATATATATATATATATATATATATATTACAAAAAAATATGTGGCTTTTTAAATATTTAATTCAACATATGATTGGAACCGTTATTGCACTGTATTACTATCAGCTTATTTATTATTAAGATATTTTTTAAAATTTTTAAATTTTTGGCAGCTATATTTAAAAAAAAAATATAGCTGCCACTTCCTAATGTGTTTTATATAATAAAAAAACTGGTTTTAAAAATTTTTTGAAGAAAAATCATTTTTGGTGTCCCTTAAACATATAAAGAGTTCCTATTATTATCATTATTTTAGAAAAACCATTACAGCTAAATTTCTTTTTTTTTAACTTTTTTAAATTTTTTGTATTTAAGTAATTGGTTATTATAGGATAACTTTTAAGTAGTTTATAACTCAGAAAGGCATTTTTAATTTTTATGAATTCTTATTTTTAGATATTTATGATGTTTCTGATGAACTTTTAGTACAAAAGTTGGTTGTTTTTTTTTTGCAGATTTTGTCATTCCCGGTCAGGAATTTTAGACGGATTTTATTTAAATAAGCTTAATAAATTTTGGAAATGTTTTTATTTTTTAAAAATTTTTTTTTTTTAAATTTTTTTTTTTTTTCTTTATTACATTTTAAACAACATTCCGTTATAAATATACAAATTGAAAAATAAAATATAGAAGTTACAAGAAAATAACAAAAAAGAAAAATCGTAATTAAGAAATAAAAGAACGCGGGGACTCGTAGAAGACCGTAAGGTCTTGTCGTCGAGAACCGCTAAAATGAACGTGATACAAACAAATTAAAAATATTCAGAAAACCCGTTATAAATATAAAGATCAGTTATATAAATACTATATAAGTTAATAAACATATAAATTGTCGTATGTATTGATACATATTCTTGGTAAATATATAAATTATAAAATAATAATAGTTCTTTGATAAGTAGAGGTAAAATGGGAAAACTATTAAAAATTATTAAAAGTAAATTGATAGATCGTCAATTGTAAAAATTAATTCTTTTAACTTTCGTTTAAAAGAGTTGTAGTTACATTGTTGGATAAAATCTTGAGAAAAGTTTTTTAAGACAATTTTGTTCCATAAGAATGGTCCGCGAGAAGTAATGCAGAATTTGCTCAAGTTAGTTTGAA